ATGTAAGACCTCCTGGGTCTGAATCTCTAGAAGGGCGACAGTATTTGTCTTTTTCAGAAGCTCTCCAGGTGATTTCAATGCGTTCTGTCGGTTAGGAACCACCATTCTGTGCCGGTGGCCTTGCAGGAATAAACAGTGCCCCGAAGAGGGGGCCTTTAATGTGCTGTGTATTCACTCCCTACTTGCCATCACCATTGCTAAGAATTTTTAGAATTTGCCAAGATAACCATCTTTGCAGCGTTCCCATTCCCTAGATGGCCCTTCAGGAGTTGTATCCCCCTCTTCACTAGCCCAAGATGGGAGTAACGAACTACCAAGGTGTTCTTCCTTTTGGCCAGTGGGACTGCAGGTAGACTCACTTCACCTGTCCTCCAGGACACCACACTGCTGAGTTCCTACCCTCTGGTCACTCTTTCTCAGCCTCCTTTGCTATAACTCAGTCTTTCCTGACCTCTTAACATTGGAGGTCTTGGATCTCTTCTCTGTGTACGTTCACGTGCCTGTTGCTCTCCCACTGCATGAGTTTCAGTCGTCTCTGCTCACAGAGGAAGATGTGCAGACTAAATCTCTCCTCTGAACTCTGGACTCTCGTCTGCAACTGCCTCCTGGACATCTCCACCTGGAAGTCCCCTAGGCGTCGCAGACTCCATCCATCCAAACCTGAACTTGCTGTTTGATCCCTGACACCTGCTTTTCCTCCAGTCAAACATCTTAGGAGTCATGCCTTTTCTTTCTCTCACACCCCACATCCAAGATTTCAGGAAATCCTGTTGGCTCCATCAACAAAATACCCAGAACGTCAGCACTTCTTGCCCCTCCTTGCTACCACCTGCGCCACCATCAGCCCTCTCCTGGATGCCTGCAGGAGCTTTACAAGTGCTCTTCCTGCATCCACTCTTATAGCCCCACTGCATTCTCCACACAGCAGCCAGAGACATCCTTTTCAGTTGGAAGTCCTCTGATTGGAACCCACCAATGACTCCCATTTCCCTCAGGGTAAAATGCAAAGGCCTCACGGTGGCCACGAGGCGCCAAACAGTGTGATTCCAACTAAACCCCTCCCCATACCGCTCTGGCCCCTCATCTCCTGTCTCCCTCCCTCTTCCTCTCTCCACCCCAGTTGCATGCCTTCTTGCTGTTCTTTGAAGACACCTGCTTCAGGGTCTTTGCAATGTCTGTTCCTTCTCCCTGGAATGCTGCTCCCCTGGATACGCACATGATTCAGTTCCTCACTTCTTTTTGAGCTTTGCTCCACTGTTAACTTTCTCCATGAGGCCTACCCCGACTGCCCTGTTTAAAAATGCAGTCTGTCCTCCTGATGCTTCCCATTGTGATTTTTCCCCAAACCATTTATTACCTACTGATATAGTGGATACTTGGCTTACCTTGTTTATTGTCTGTCTACCCTTCCATTGCCAACACCCAACATCAGCTCCACCAAGGCAGGAGTTTTTGTCTTTTGTTCACTGATTTAGCCCAAGAATCTGTCACATGGTGGGTGGGTGCCCAGTCAGTGAACACTAAAGGTAGGAGCACTTTCTAGACCTTAAAGAAAAAACAAAGCTAAAAGTTTTGTCCTGGTCAGAATTTCATCTGTTCTGTATTTAATCTGTGATCTACTAGAGGGTAGGAATTATACCTTCTAGTGGTCCATTCAAACACAGAAGTGAGTTAGACCAGATTATCTGTCTTTTCTAGTTACATGATTATATGTAGCATTTATTTGGTGACGTTTAAGTATAGAAACAAATTGTGATCTATACGCCTAAGTGTAAATTCAAATTATGGCCCTTGGACGAGGCCAGTGTCCTCATATTGGGGAAAATGCAGAAATTGGGGGTAAGCATTTAGGAACTTTCATAACAACACGATAGAGTTCTAGTATATCCGCTGAACCTAATAATAAAAAAATGGGGGCTTTTATATGTGTCCCACTTTTTTATTTCATTTATTCAAAATTTATTTTTAGTATAGTTTACAAAAGTATTGGTTCATGATGGGACTGGACATTAGAACAACCAAAAGCAGGTCCTTCACCACACATAGTTGAAGAGGCACTAATCAAATGGATGCCGGGGCTGACTTAGGAAGCTGGAGTAAAAAAAAAAGCTTGAAACCTTCTGGACCTTTATGAATCATCTCATAGATCTTCAGTTGTCCTCTCCTATAGTGGTTTTCAACTTTTTTCTTTTTTGCTTTTTCTTCCCCCCCGCCCCCCAAGCATTAGAACCCTCCCTTTAAATGATCATTGCCATAAAACCCAGATGTAGAGAGCAGATGAAAGCAGACCTGCTCTCGTTGACTATAGACTCAGGGGCTCAGACCCCACCTGCTTGAATCCCCTCCACTCCCTGCAGGTCACTAATATGCCTCAGCAGAGCCCTAGGTCCCTTTGCACAAGTCTGAAAACTGTTCTCCTGGATGTGAATTAGAGTTTTTGTTTTACTTTTTGTATGTTTTATAAATAATACATTTGATACATTCTTATTCAAACTTGAGACATTTCTTCATACAGTGACACAGCTCTTTGAAGTGAATTATATCCTTACTTCCCTGGACTTGACGTTCATGACTTAGAGGTGTCCTAATTTGAAATTTAGACGCTTCTCTTATCATAGCCCAGCTGACTGAAAACCAGCAGGGACAAACCTTAGTTAAACAAAGTCATGTGTATTTCAATGAGGGAGACCACACGCTGGAGGAACTGGGAGTGTCTCACCAACAAAGGAAAAGATAGGTCTTTCAGAGCATCTTGGAGAATGGTGGAACTTAGGGAAGTTTAATGAAGCAATATCTTGATTGGCTCAAAGCAGGGCTGGGTGTAAAGATCTGAACTGTGAAGTAGCCCATGACCTGGAAACTACAAAGTTTCCTTGGAAACTACAGACTTAAGAAAGACATGGAAGGGACTTCCCTGGTGGCGCACTGGTTAAGAATCCTCCTGCCAATGCAGGGGACACAAGTTCAAGCCCTGGTCCGGGAAGATCCCACATGCTGTGGAGCAACTAAGCCTGTGCGCCACAACTACTGAGCCTGTGCTCTAGAGCCCACAAGGCACAACTGCTGAGCCTGCCTTCCACAACTGCTGAAGCCCATGCACATAGAACCCATGCTCCGCAACAAAGAGAAGCCACCGCTCACCGCAACTAGAGAAAGCCCGCATGCAGCAACGAAAACCCAACGCAGCCAAAAAAATAATAAGTTAGTTTTTTTAATAAAAGAAAAAAGACATGGAATGTTGTGTCCAGAAACTCCCTAATCTGAAACTGTGCATCTGGGCTGGAAATCCAGGCTCCTTTTCTGTGTCAAAGTGGGATGATTCATTCTTCCTAGTATGATTTCAAACAGCAAAGTTTCTGACAGTCTGTGATTGTGGAGAACAAGGTTTCTCAATGAGATAAGAAAGCAGTGGTCACCCAAAGAAGGGGGTTGTTAGGACACCTTTTAGCTTCAGTGTGACTTTGGGAGAAATATGGTTTCCTGTCAGCTTTGCAGCTGACTTTATCTGTGTTTGTCATCCCAGCCTGCTTTATGAATAATGGGGCTGATTTTTACTTTCTTACTCTCAACTGACCAGCTGTTTTACATATACTAAGATTCCTCACTCTCTGGGCCTAACATGCTTGATTTTGATCCAGTGGGCCGTGAAGTGTGTTAATTTGAGATTCTGATAAAGTTCAAATGACAGGCGTCTGCACCTGACATCTTAACAGACCTATGATCTAGTGGAGCACTGAAAAATAACTTAATGAAAAATACCTGGAAAAGAAAGCCACTATAAGAACCAATATTAGAAATATAGAAAGAGGAAAGAGGTATGAGAAAGCAATGGTTTGAAGCCTTAATAGTGATAAGATCCTTTGACCTGCTAATATCACATAGAGAGATCTAGTTTAAGGAAGTCACCAGTTATGAGGAAAAACAATAATAGACAAGGATACAGCATTATTTTTCATGGTGAAAAACTGAAAATAACATAAAGGTTGAAGGTGTTGCTAAATACCTGGAATGAATATTTAGTGCCATAGGGAGTGCTCGTGAAATAAGTACAGCAGGAAACAATCAGGCTATTAAAATACAGAGTGTGATATCAACTTTATTTTTTTAGTTAGAGGATAATATGTATGGAAAATGTCTGCAAGGAAATGTAGCAAAACATCAACAATGGTTATTTCAGCATGGCTAAATTATAGCAGATTTTGTTTCTTTATTCTTTATTTTCTACAATAAGCTTATATTATTCAAAATACTACAATAAGCATGTATTACAGCAATACAAAGCAGCTCTAAAAATAGGCATATATTACTCAGCGAAAGAAACTAGTTACTTTAGAAAGAAGTAATGGTTCTTAGCCAGAAAATAAGTATTTTATGAGGAAAATAATATACTCTGTGTTATTACTATTTATGGGGTTGTCAGAATGTGTTTTTCCCACTATGACTCTGTTAGATTGAGGAGAATAATTTTTCATTTTTGATTGGTGGTTTATACGCTGAATAAGGCTGAATGAATCTGAATCTTTTTTAAATTCTAGAATTTTTAGCATGTAAGCCTTTTTGCATAATTAGTCACTTCTACTTGTAGGAGAAACAAATTTAGTAAACCAGAATGCCACAGTAGTTTGACGTTGGTTCTTTCATCCAGAAAAAGTGTTTCAGACTTCAGACACTATTATTGTTGATGTTATTTTTAACTTTTTATATTTTTATTTTTTTCTGAAGAATAGATTTCCAAAGTAAGGGATGATGAAATACTGTCCTTATAAAAAGAACTATGTGGGAAATTATTGAAATTTGGTTAAGATAAATTGAGATTTACAGACAAATTTAGCTTTGGATTTAAATAGCCTTTCTGCCATTTATAGCAAAATTATTTTCATAAATAGGAATGTACGTAACTCTTTATTTGAAGATTAGTGTGACTACAAAGTTTCTAAATGTGTAGTGACTTTGTAAGTCTTAACTAGGCCTGTCCTTTTGACCCTCTACAGTCCAGGACAATGTCTGGAGAACTTCCACCAAACATTAACATCAAGGAACCTCGATGGGATCAAAGCACTTTCATTGGACGAGCCAATCATTTCTTCACTGTAACTGATCCCAGGAATATTCTGTTAACCAACGAACAACTAGAGGATGCAAGGAAAGTAGTGCATGATTACAGGTAACATTAACAAGTACGCTTTGGGGCTTAATATATTAATAGATCATCATGTTAGCCTATTGTCTTTAAACCTTCCCTTAGTGATTTTTCAACATTTTTTTTTGCAATTGATTCCTTTTTATAAAAATATATATATATATATATATATATATATATAAGAAATAGGAAGACGTGTTTCATTCCCCATTGTTGACGCTTAACACAGATACTCAGGGTTCGTAGTAACCTGAAAATAAGCCAGCCATCCCTCCAACTCACAGGTGCCAATCCATGAAGTCCCCTTTCTAGAGCCCTGCCTTCTGCTCGCCAATACAACCACACCTGCATCCACAACTTTCTGTCTCCAGATGGAGACTGCATCTTACAAAAAGCAAGTCGTCAAGAATTAGGGTAGGTTGTTCGCTTCTTCTCAGATTAAGCCCCAGTGAATAAACCCCACATATAGTAGCTCAGATTGGAAGGATGCTGGTGGCACAGTTTGTAGGTTTGGGATGGACACCGTCAGTTCAGAGAGCCAGGCATGAGGTGAGAGAAGAGACATGCTCTAAGGCAATGGTCACAACTTTCTTTTTATTTTTTAAATTTATTTAATATTTTAATACAATTTTTAAAGGTTACACTCCATTTACAGTTACTACAAAATATTGGCTATATTCCCCGTGTTGTACAATACGTCCTTGAGCCTATCTTACATCCAATAGTTTGTACTTCCCACTCCCCCACCCCTATGTTGCCCCGCCACACTATAACCGCTAGTTTGTTCTCTATATCTGTGAGCCTGCATCTTTTTTGTTTTGTTTTGTTTTTTTGCGGTACACGGGCCTCTCACTGTTGTGGCCTCTCCCGTTGCGGAGCACAGGCTCCGGACGCGCAGGCTCAGTGGCCACGGCTCACGGGCATGTGGGATCTTCCCGGACCCGGGCACGAACCCGCGTCCCCTGCATCGGCAGGCGGACTCTCAACCACTGCGCCACCAGGGAAGCCCGAGCCTGCGTCTTTTTTGTTACATTTACTAGTTTGTTGTATATGTATGTATATGTTCCACATATAAGTGATATCATACAGTATTTGTCTTTCTTTGTCTGCCTTATTTCACTTAGCATAATGCCCTCCAAGTCCATCCATGTTGCTGCAAACGGCAGAATTTCATTCTTTTTTATGGCTGAGTAGTATTCCTGTGTGTGTGTTTGTGTGTGCGTGCGTGTGTGTGTGTGTGTGTGTGTGTATGCCACATCTTCTTTAGCCGTTCATCTGTTGATGGACATGCAGCTTTCTTGATAAAAGACCATATAAGAAATATTTCAGCCTTTGTGGACTACAGAGGATTTCTGTCTTATTCTGCATGTTCTGCCTATTCTTCTTAGTGTCTTGCGGGTTTGTTTGCTTGTTTGTTTGTTTTCTAGAGCTTTTCGTTTGTTTGATTGTTTTACAATCCTTCAAAAGATGTAAAAATCACTCTTAGCTAGCCAGCCGTACAGGCCACAGACAGTAGTTTGCTGACTCCTGCTCTCAGGGAAAGTCAGGCAGAAGCTGAGAATTGGATTAGTGGGAGCTATGAGCCTAAACATGCCAAGAATAATCCATGCAAGGTACGTATTTGACTGTCACATGGGTAGTCAGTGAGGCCACCAAGGGCGGTCTATAAACTTTGTTACCAAACACTGAGTCTGGCCAGGTCTTAGCATGTGCAGCCGTGCAGAAAGAGGGCTCCCTGGGAAGCAGAATATCCTGGAGCCCCACGAGCAAGTCCTCAGGAACGAGGCAGAGGAAGACAGCAGAAGCGCATTTCAGAATTCCGGCAAGTCAATGTTCCATGATTCTGGAACAAAGGCCATAAAAAGAGGAGAGGTGGAGATGTAAAGACAGCTAGGGGAGTTGAAAAGAAGCCATAAAAGAGATTGCAAAGCCCCTAAACTTGTAAGAGCAAAATTAAAATCTTCACTGGAGGCAGTGGTGGAGAAGTAATGACATCAATGGTACCGAGAGAAAAGTGGAAACAGAGATGCTGGGGATAAACCTGAGTCACTCTCCAAGGATGAAGATCTGAGGTCGGCACACTTTTTCTGCAAAGGGCCAGATGATAAATATTTTCAGCTGTGCAGGCCCTACAGTCTCATGCTGTGTTGTTTTGCTTGTTCACCACCCATTAAAAATGGAAAAACCATTCTTAGCGCACCAGCCATTCAGAAATAGGTGTGGGCTGCAGTTTGTCAACTCTTGATATAGATGAAAAGGTGAGAGTGTGAAAAGGATTGTATTTCAGGGGACTAGAGGATGGAGAGTGAAGATATAATTTATTGACGCTTCTCAAGGAGAAACTAGAAAAATGCGAAAGATGTCATAGTAAGTAGATAAAAGAATTTTCCTGTAGTGAGGACAAACATCCACAAACTAGGCTCACCCTGTTTCAGGCAAAGAGACCCACATATGGAGATTTTTTTTTTTCTTTTTTCTACAAAGAACTTTTAAAAATTTCATAAGCATTCAAACAGGGAAAAAAAGTTATTAAAAAAGAACAAATGACAGAGAAGTCTCAATCTTCTTATCTATGCACTGAGTGCCAGAGGACAGTAAAGGAACGTGTGCCAAGTTTCCAGGAGAAAGCATGTAACCCAGGAATTTTATACCAGAGTGTCTCTGTTTACAGAGGCAACAGAAAAATACATAACAACATCAAAAATAAACTCCTCATAAATCCTTCTTGAGAGGTCAGGAGATGAAGCAAAATTGAGTTCAAAAATAAGAAATCCATAGTATATTGTGATTCCTCAAACAATTCAAAATAGAATTACCATATGATCCAGCCATTCTACTTCTGAGTATATACCCAGAAGAATTGGAAGCAGGATTTTGAACAGATATTTGCACACCTGTGTTCATAGTGGCATTACTCATAATAGACAAAGGTGGAAGCAACCCAAGTGTCCATGGATGGATGAATGGAAAAATAAAACATTGTATATTCACACAATAGAATACTATTCAGCCTTAAAAATGAAGGAAATCCTAACACGTGCTACAACATGGATTAACCTTGAAGACATTATGCTAAGTGAAATAAGCCAGTCACAGGAGGACAAATTATTGTACAATACTACTTATATAATGTGCCTGGAGTAGCCAAATTCATAGAGACGGAAAATAGAATGGTGGTTGCCAGGGCCTAGGGGGCCAGGGAATCAGGAGTTATTGTTTAATGAATACAGTCTCAGTTGGGGGCGATGAAAACATTCTGGAGATAGATGGATGGTGGCAATAGTTGGACAATAACATGAATATGCTTAGTACCACAAAACTGTACAGTTAAAAATGGTTGAGATGGTAAACTTTATGTTATATACTGTATTACAGTAAAAAAAAAAAGAAAGCTGTAATATAAATAGACTAGTGACGAATGTCGAAACTGTTAAAATAGAAATAGTTGTTGCATTTCTAGTTGTAAAGCAATGTATAGGCAAAAAGAAATTTTAAGTGTTTTGTAAAAAATAGTAATAGCTATCTGAATCTAAAGCCCTAGATTGTAGTATCAAAAAAAATTTTTTTTAATAAAAAAAAGGAAGAGGAGGAATTAAAAGTATACCAAATATTTATCTTAAATAGGAGGTGGACTCAAAAGTATGTACGGTTTGGCTCTTTACCATGTTAGAGAAATGTGTCGTAGAATGGTTTTGAGAATCTTTTTTTTTTTTTCTTGTGGAACGCGGGCCTCTCACTGTTGTGGCCTCTCCCACTGCGGAGCACAGGCTCCGGACGCGCAGGCTCAGCGGCCATGGCTCACGGGCCTAGCCGTTCCGCGGCATGTGGGATCTTCCCGGACCGGGACACGAACCCGTGTCCCCTGCATCGGCAGGCGGACTCTCAACCACTGCACCACCAGGGAAGCCCGGTTTTGAGAATCTTAATGGTAACCACTAGTCAAGTTAAATCTTAGTATATATCTTCTAAAACCCCAAAGGCATAAAAACAAAGACAGTGTAATAAGTATAACTAAAGGTAAAACCAAAAAACTGTCATAGAAGCTTTTAAAATAACGTAAAACAAGACGGAGGAGGCCAGACAGCTTAGTAAAACAGTATGTGTAAAAGGGATTAAAGCCCTCTATTAAAATCAGAGACTTTAAAATTGTGTAAAAACACTTAAAAAGCTCAACAGTGACATGGCATCCCAATCAGAATGCATGAGGGTTGCTAGCTACATGACCAATCTCTGTATGAGGTCATTGTGCGTGGAAAAATACAATGACTTCCTCCAAGAATCATTGAGCACCTCACCTTCTTTTCTCTTCACCTGTTAAGGAATATAAAACCCTTAAAGTCTGTGTCATAAATTGCTCCACTGGGGATTAGGGGTAATGCTGCTTTTATCATGTCTGCTTTTATATTCATTATATATCTGTATATCTGTATCTTTATCTATATATTCATCAGTAAAACCAATTGGTGAATTAATGGATAAGAAATAGCCCAGAGTTCTCCCCCTAACCACTAAAAGACAAATTAGCTGTGAACTCTCAGAGGAGAATAGCTCAAAGGGTTAGTTGGAGTCAAGGAAATATCACGTACAGTGTACCTTCAAGGAATATGAATACCAATAATCTATAGTCCTCGTGGGATACCAACGTGCTATTTTAGTATGAATCCAAAGGGAGGTAATAAAAATGGCTAACATTACAAAGCAGGATGAAGGTAACTGCAAATCAAAAGGAAGCTGTATGAAAATTGGACAAAATTCAGTTGAGGGCGAATAGATCAGAAAAAATTTGATATTTATAAAATGACCATGTTCGGTATTCATGAACTAGTTAATGTTACATCAAAATATACAAAGAAAAGGCTGTTAGAAATGCAGACAGAACTTGATTAATCACATCAGAATTGTTCAGTACTTTGTACAAAAAGAAAAACCAAAAGTAAAATTACAAAGTAAAAATAATGAGAAAATTAATATGAAAACTTAAGGGATTGTGCCAGAATTGTACTCTGAGTGGAAGTTTATAGTTT